TTATCCTGAGCTCACCAGGTTTCCGACTCACATCACGCTCCCTGTCCACACTGTCTAAGCCGGCGAAGTATGTATAAACCCATACAACTCCAGATTTACTCGGACAACAAACTCATCAGATTAAGAGTATCCAAGCAAGAGCCATCAAGAGGCACGTACAGCAACATTCCACCACCATATCACCATTTCGAGAAACAACTCACCACACAGAGAGGGAGCGATGCGGAGAAAAAGGCGCTTGGATCTCCCGAATCTCTCCACAACATCTCTTCATTTACTCAACTACAAATCATTACACTAAACAGAGTGAATAAATGTCAAAAAGAAATCAGAACAATCACTTTCCCAGTTTCAGTAAGATAAATGAGTTCTTACCCAAACAGCTTAAACACAGACTGCAAAACACCAGTCAATAATACGAACAGCACTAAAGAAATAAAGTACAGTACATTATTTTTAAACAACACCATCTTGTGTCGAAGATAAAACAATTCATGTACATTATTCCAGTATTTCATTTATACCATGCGTTAAAGCGTTCAATCTTGCGAAGACAATTGTACTGGCAACATCATAAACATAGAACTAACAAAAAATAATACAATTAAGCTCCTACACAAAATGATCCACACCAGGACGATCCCTCACAAACCGGCATATCAAAAACACAACCTATCATTTGGCCATCCATGAAAAAGCACATTAACCTCACACTTTCTCTATAGCAATACATACTTCCTTCCTACGGGCACTGCACTAGTTTCCTCAAAAAATCTTACATGTACCGCCATGTGTGTTTTCTAGATCCAGCTCTCCTGTGGGATCCTGTACTGTCCAGTTTACAGTGTGTGAGCTGACTCTTGAGGGAGAAGCGTATCTTGGTCTTGGCAGTGAGTGTTGATGAGAAACAGATGGAAGGAGGAGGGGGTGTGAGAAGAGAGCGATTTGAAAAATGTAGAGCAAAAGGTCTGACTTGGTGGGAAAATGGAATGATTCAATCTCCACTCACGTAAGCTGTCCTTGCTGAAAACTGAAACTATCCGACAGCTAAGAGTGCTACAAATCACATGTGTAAATGTTGGCAGTGCTTGTGTGATTTCCTGTGCATTTCCCCAAAGGTGAGTTTAGCCCATCATCTGCTCTGAGTCCAGACTCTTCCCATGGCAACTGATGGGAAAACAGCACAGGAGGCCAAGAAATTAAATAGGTGAACCTCAGCTGGCTAGATTCCTCACATATCAAGGGAACAAATCTGTTGAAATGAAAGGAAAGTCTAACGTTTATATGCAATTTTAATTAAAATTAGATTTAATGTGTTGTAGTTAAATTTTTTCGTCCCAATGCACCTCAATTGATGTTTATTTAAGTACCAGACCCACTGGCAAGTATTATTCAAACCCACAGAGGTTATTTTTTAAAGTCAAGTCAATATCCCAAGGTTTTTTAAATATATGTCCGACTAAAGTTTGGTAAAAGCACAGCATCTTGAATGCCAATGTAATGGTGCAGACATAGAAATGCATCTTGGCTCAATACTGCACGCATCATATAAATTAAATGATTAACCAAACAAGCAAATGTGATATTGTCATTGTGGATGTTGTTTAACATAACCCCCTGACAACTAATACTGTTCAGCCAACTGTTTCACTGTAATGACTCAATCTAATACTTATGCCTCTATATGACCTACATAAACAAACAAGACCATCAGCAAGAAGATTTTCTTCAGATTCCCCTTGAAATCAATCAAAACGAGGCAGTAGATATATTAGCGCTTTTGGCTAGAGGGGCCGCCAGAATCAACACAAATTAAAGTTTCTGTTTACAGTTTACTCTACCAGCTCCAAAAAAAAATCTGATTGTATTCAACCTCATGGCAATCTTACCCAACTTCTCACTTGATTTATGAGCTCAAACAGTTTCCTAATGAGTTTATGGTCTCAATCTCTAGTTTCGGTCTTCTTCCATACAGCATGATGTTCATTTAGTTAATGATGGTCCCATTTAGAGTAAATAGACAATAAAGCAGGGTATGCTTTAGGGAGGGTCTACCTTGTGTGATTGACAGGTCATTCTCTTGTTCTAAAGACATATAGTTTAGTCTACTGTTTAACTGTAACACCAGAAGGTTTGTGACCAGGCAGACCGCTATTTTTTTTCTGCTTAGAAATTAAGCAAAAACACAGTAGTTAGATAGTTCAGTCTGAACCAAAGTGATGGACTAACTCAATAAGAGACTGACATTAGCATCTCTAGAGCCATGCCACTAGCACGTAATGCCCAAATTGTGTAAAATATGTCCACTTGATGGAATATTGCAGCCATATAAAAATCACATATTTCTAGTCAGCATAGCTTCAATTAAGAGCTGGAACAAGCAGGATACAGCATACACAGTATGTCATACTGTCAGAGGACTAGAGTGCGATAGTTTGTCAGAAGTTAAGAGACAAAAGGGAAGAAAATGTAATGTAAGCAGGAAACTGGTGTTCAAAAAGTCTGGAAAATTAAATCTGTTACACTTTGTTATCGTAGCATACCATAGCCCAGCTGTTGATGCAATGGTGAATGTGAGCATTCACACAGTATGTTCTGGCCACACAAGCTGAGTTACAGCAGCACAGGCCGGACCAACTACAGCTGTTGTGGCTCTCTACAGAACCTGCTGTGGCTGTGATATACATTACAGCCAGACATCTGCATACAGCTGCTCTCAGAGGACTCACTAACAAGTTTTCCACTGCTATCTTGTGCATTTAGTGACTTAGATTAAGTGTAGCACATCACATTAAGTCATAACTCCATCTGTTTTGGACGTACACCCAGTTTTCCACATATATTTTTTCCATCATACTCATCAAAATCTAATTTTTGGTTTAACATAATATCACTTGTGTTTGTTTTGCCAACGTGTGCTGCTATCTAGTACTGTACAATGCTATAGGGACAATGTGTTGAACCCCAATTAACTGTGCTATCTTTAATTAGATAGCACTTTATACTTAATTTCTAGTTTATTCATAACCTCACAAGTTTCAATATTTATTGTTAAAGCTACAGTAGGTAACTTTATAAAACTATTTTTTGTCATATTCACTGAAACTTTCACTATATCCTGACAGTAGAACATAAGACAGATAATGTGCCAAAAAATCTGGTTCCTCTGGCTCCTCCTAGTGCTCCTAATGGTATTTGTAAGAAGTGAGAGAGCGGCCGAGATAGTTGATTGGTGAGGGCGTAAAATACAGAAACTTTGGAAATAAAACTTGCAAATGCCATTAGGAGCACTAGGAGGAACCAGACGAAACTGGTTTGTTTTTTACAGATTATCTGTCTCATGTTCTACTGTCAGGATATATTAAAGTTTCAGCAAATATGACAAAGTTATTTTTATATAAATTACCTACTGCAGCTTTAATGTCTGTAAATAGTGTCATGGCAATTGTTGTAATATTTAAGACCAACGTTAAAAGGATTAATAAATGATCAAAGAAGTTGCAGACCCCTTCTATTTAACAAAAAAAGCCAGACTGTATCAAATGTATCAAGATTTAGTAAAACAGCAGCCAAGCAAAAACTTTGCCTGAATTAAGTATAGGATCATAGGAACGCATCTCACAATGACTGCCAGAGGCCAAAAATGATCTTGAACATTTGCTGGTTTCTTCGTCATCTATCATCTAGGAAACTCGATCTCTGCTGGACCAAACAAGTAATTCAAATGTGTCAGCTGTCAAATTGTGGTTTGCATTTTTCAATACTTCTTCACATTTTATAGATCAAACAATCGTTCAATCAGAAACTTTTATTTAAACTTTTTTTTATTACTTCATAATAATTAACTCATGATGGTTAGTTGTAATTGCAATAGTAAAACAAGCAAGTTTTATTTACTACATTTTAAAGACACTTTTAGTTGATTTTTAACAAAGTTGACAATTAATGTTCAGACAATTGACTAATTGACTACTCATTGCAGCTCTAATGTACACTTTAAAGGTCTGGTGTGTAGGATTTAGTGGCATCTAGCAGTGTAGTTGCTGATTGCAACATCCTCACCTCACCCCCCTTCCTAGCATGGAGTAGAAACTACAGTGGATGTGAAACCCGTGAACTCTAGAGCCAGTGCTTGGTTTGTCCGTAAATCATCCATCTTTTCTCAGTACACCTTAACTTTTCCCACCCTCAGCGTGTAAAAACTTCAGGTGATTATACACTAATGAAAACATAATGAAATATTAAATTATATATATATATATATACACCATTTCTGCCAATAGACACTGCTGAGGCAAAGACTACTGGACTGCACCAATTCTTTACTGGCTGGGAATTTCCAGCTTCTGCCTTTGACAGGAATGCTACGTGTTCCTGCTTTAAGGCGACTGTGATCCAGCCTCTGTCCAGATCATGAAAGCTGTTTGCTGTTTTACACACTCGCTGTCTAAAGTCTCTTTCCTGCTACACAGGAAGCGTTTTATGTGTCCAGTTGGATTAAACACAAGAAGAAGAAGTGAGTAGTTGTATGAACAGACAGGGAAGAGGACACTCAAACTTGACAGAAGGTGTAATTAACTAAGCAACAAAGGTACACGCTTAACAAATATAAAATAGGTCTTATAGTTGACAAAGCCTGCTGTTTCCACAGCAGGTAATTCTTCAGTGTGACTCCTTGAGCCATATTTGAACTTTAAGTCTTGCCTTTTCTCCTTTATGTTCTTCCTCTGATTTCATTCAGCATCTATCATCAGACTGCCAATACAGAAAGAAAGATGCGAAGAAGAATAGAATAGGTGCGGGCCAAGATTTGTCACTGCTCATTATGAAAAAAGGTTCATAAAAGAGACAAAGATGGAAGACAGAGGTGTGCAGTTTGAAGTCCAGCCTCTGTTTTTGTCGCTCCTGTTTCACATTGCTGCTACTGCTCTTGCTGCTGGGAGGTATTTCTGGAAACCAATATTCGTCTTTTCTTTTCTCTTCTCTCTCTGTCTCTCTCTCTCTCCCTGTCTTGTTCATTCTGTGTTGCTAAAAGAAAATAGGCACTATGACATCAGCCCTGCAAAACACTCTAAAAAAAGCCAGGAGAGAGAGAGACAGGGAGGGAGAAAGAAAAGACAGAGCAAGAGAGAGAGTGAGGTAAAAATAGTATAATGGCTGTGTGTACTTTAGACAAATTAGAAGCTAGGAGAGGGAGAGGAGTCACATGTGTAGCGTTGCTATAGAGACTGAGGGTGGGTCAGAAGTATTATGGGCTGGCATACTGTAGGTCATCCGCAACGGATGTTACACCAAGCTTTATTTCTTTGACAACATCTGGTCCAATCATTTACACAGCAAGTTTGCATATTTTTAAAGCTGCACTAACCAATATTTTCATATTAACAATTGGTCCAATGACTATGTGAGATGTGAAGGAGGTTACTCATATTGATGGACCCAAAAAAAATTATCACCAACTCTGCAGTTCCCCTCAGCTCTATGGAGTGTTTTAGCATCTTTCAGCTCATTGTTTTGGTTTACAGCCCAAAGCTTTGAAGCAACACTATGTAGACTTAGTATTTGTGCGATTTGGCGCCCCCAGTTGGAATACTACTGTCGAAAAAAAGCTGTACACGTGCATTTGTGATGATTACATTACTTATGTTTAAAATATAGCGGGTTGAAAACATTGCTAACACAGCCAAACATCAAGCAAGTGCATAAACACAAGACATAGCAAGCAGCTAATATAACTGACCAGTCCAAAAGCAAGGCCAGCTCGCCATCTGTCTGCAGCTTTTCATTTCACAGAGCTCTCGCAAACAACCAAAACTTGTTTTCTCTACTTAGCTTCCTCCGTCATCTCCTCACCCCGATCCGGTTCTAGCACAACCGGCGCCACTCTCCGACAGCATTCTTACCCCTGTCCCATCAACACTCCCCCATTGTTTTGAGCACCCAATTCAGTGCAGTACAGCTAAGCTAACTAGCTAACAGCAGCTAAAGGTAGCAGAATTTACTTGTTAGAGAGTTGTGGCAGAGCAGCTTGAGATATAAAAATAAAAAACAATTCTCCATAAAATATGATCCAGTTTCACCAAAATCAGTGACAAGGTTGGTGGTGTGTGATTACTACCGTAAAGCGTTATTCACTTGTTCTGACCCGAAACCAAATGTTACATAGTACAGGAATAGGTGAACATGGTGGAGCACTTAGCAGCTAATGCGCCAGATATTTCCGTCAGGAGTTGGTAGCGACCAAAACAGTGCTAAAAAGATAGTGAATATTGTTTAGAAAGAAACACGATGCCAAATGAATGCAGCAGTTTCTAGTTAAATTAATAAAAAACAGGTGATAAAGGGTTTAGAGATGGGAACTACTAATCATTTTGCTGGTTTGAATGGTTTCTTTCACACATTCATAGTCACTAGCTGTGTAGTTTGGCCATTTTTATGTTTTATTAAGTAAAGCAGTTGCATCAGTCATCATATAAAATGCATAACTAGTTTTGGCGAATAAATGTGATCAGTATTAGTCCAGAGCAATGACGAAGACATAAGCGAGTGTCTGTGAGTCTGCAAAGTCTGAACACATACACAAACACAAATATACACTGACATGGGTTCCACAGTGAGCCAACACTGTAATTGCTGAAAAGAAGATTAGAGTGGATATGTCCTGCTTGTACCAATTAACAACCTGCAGCATTGAGAGGTGGTATCAAGCCTGGCTCCACTCAGACTTTACTGTGGCAAGACCTCCATAGACATTATCGGTCTTTTAACAGCCTTTTTGCTCACACTCTAGATGTGTGTTTTCAGCATTAGATAAATTACTTAAATCTAAAGGTAAAGATAAAAGGTAGTGTATCCTGGGAGTTGTCCTCACACTATGTGAGAGTTCAAAATATTTTCTTCAAAGTTTCAAAAGGTTCACAAACAAAGATTATCCATACTTTCTAAACAGAGCAGTGTACAGCTGAAGATGGAAATCACGAGAGTGTGAGATTTATGGAACAGCGCCTGGGGTATTCTTGCCCTTTTTCTTCTGAAAAAGTGACATTGTGCTTCAAGACTGAGGAACTCCTTTAACATGCTTTTTATTGCATCATCACTCTCATCAACCCCGGGGCACAATTTCAAATTATTGACTCCTTTTCCTGTCCCCTTGTATTTGTGTATAAATGGATAGAGGAGCAAGTCAGTGCTCAAGGAATAAAAACCACGTTGATGGGTCATGACCCTTAATTATGTGAGAGAAAAAATGATGCACATGAAAAAATTCATGGATTTTCTCTTTCATTTTATTTGGAAGACCATGCCCTAAGCTTTGGGGGATAAACAGAAAACAGAAAGTATATGAGTTAGCTGCGGACTACAACTTGTTCTGCACTTGAGCAATGAGCGTCTTTTTTTTAGATTTATCTTACCTTTTCAGGGATTTATCTTAGCTTTGGAATAACAGCTTTGGGGGATGTGAAAAGAAAGTATACTGTTTCAACGGATTCAGTGAGTTAGCTGTGGGCTACAACTTGAGCCCTGTTTTCTTTTTTTAGCCTATATTTGTTAACATTTTAGTAAACTGGCAGCATTAAAAGTATGCCAAATTAGCTACTAGCAGTTCTTCTTTGCAGTGTGGCCATGGATGCACAGACAGCTCTCCCTGGATTGCTTTGATACTGCAGGAAACTTAAAAACATGAAGATTCTCAGGCAAGTTCTGCACAATAAGTGTCTTTTTCTATAAGAATTTATGGACGTGATCCGTGAGTAATACATAGAAACTGTCAGTCACACTGAGTCTAAAATATGTGCATCATGTATGTGTTCAGATTTGACTGAGTTATGAGACTGAATCAGAGAATTTTGACGCAAAATGCAGCAGTCAGGCGCTAAGGGTTTTAAAGCACCTTAATTGCCTTGATGAGCTGCGTGCCACAGCCACTGCTGCTCCAACTGCTGACGGTGTTGATAAGCAGGTCAACTGCTAACTAGCTTCCCGTTGTTTTTAGAACACGGGCATGCACCTGCATCTGTGGCTCTTTTTCCATGCCCCCACTGGGGAGGCGCACCTTACGGTTTGAAAACCTGACCTGCACTGTCTATCCTTATATCCTATTCTACCAATAAAACCTGTGAGCCCAGCGCACACACACATCCTCTTTTTTCCCCCAGACATTATAACACTTTTTACATTTAGATCCAAACCTTTTGTCTGATGGCCCCTCAAACCTCCAGCACACAGCAGCCCCCCCCTCCCCTCCCCACCTCTCCTCTCCCAGAGATGACTCACCGGCGGTGGGCATGGCAGCACTGGAGCCCCTGTTGTCACTCAGGAGCTCCAGAGGCTGGTGGTGGCTGTCTGTGCTGGCAGAGGAAAAACAGGACTCAGTCTCATAGATGGTCTGCAACATGGCGCACAATCCTGACACCGTGGGATGCAACAGCATGCCAAGACAAGAGGCAGCACTCTATTTTGTCACAAAAAAAAAAAAATAAAAAAAACTTAGTTTCACAACTCTCCACAAGTGCAGTGCTTTGAACCACCACCTTCTCTTGTGAGCGTATACGAGAGGGGTTGGGGATGGAGTATGAAGACGATGGGTGTTGGACATTGTGGTTGGTTAGTGCTATGTGGTGAGTGGGTGGTTCCAGGATGGAGGATCGTGTGTTATAGAGATTAGTGTTGATCAGTTAGGTCAGTGTGGTAAGGCATGAGCGAGGACGTAAATTTAGAGCCTATGGGAGAGCGCTCTTCCCGAGGTTTTCATTTTGCTTTCCAAAATGTGAGAACGAAGCGCTGAGAAGATGACAGAGAGAGGGAAATGGAAGGAAGGGAGGAGGGGGAGAGGACGGAGCAGTATAATAAAAAAAAGGAGAAAATGGAGGAGAGGAAGGCTTGGAGAAGAGAGCTGGCAAGTTAGAACCTCCCCCAGAAAAATGAACAGTGCCAGTAGATCACGACGCCCGTCCCCTTATGCCTGCGCTTGATAAACCCACAAAAAGTTGCTTGTTGGTGTTTGGGGGGGGGGGGCGGGGGGGGCGGTCAGAGTGAGCTTTGTACGGCGACCAGAAACAAGCGTGCTGGTCAGTACGGCTAATATTCACTGTCTGAGAAGTCATGTGTGTGTGCTGTGTTGTGACGCTCTTTTGAGCTGCTGAATGAACATTGAGAGATGGGAGAGAAGAACAAGAGGGAGGGGAGGATGTGGGAAGGTGGCTGAGGTCTCGCTCTCTTAGAGATGACGATGTGAGAGAGTAGGCTTAGAAGTAGATCGAACAAATGGGCATGCAGTAAAGTGCGACAAATTAGCACCATCAGGCACTGAAGAAAAAAGTCAGCAACCGCAGTCCTCCATTTCGTTTCCAGAATCACAAACCATAAACAACGAGCAGAAAAACGAAGTATTGCGAACCAAGCAGTAGGAAACAACCTCACCTCTTCTATACTACATACATCCACAAATCAGATAAATCTTCTGTCTTCACACCTTCAATCACTCTCATTTGTTTTATTCTGCAACGTTTCTGTGGTAGATTGGCTTTTTTTTTTTCCCAGAATAAAGAACAGGAAGGGGAGAGAAGAGAACATTTCAACACAGGAGATGCGGGCGCTGAATTGGAGGGGGGACTATAACTGAGCCTGCAGGGAGGAGGAGGAAGGACAGGGATAAATAGTAACAGAGATGACTTGATTTTAGAAACAGAGCCTACATGCCTTCTGGTTTGGGTTTAAGACTGTGGGGTGGGGGGGTTGCATTTCAGCGCGGTCATCGATATTTCTACACAGCATAAGCACGCCCAAGATCG